GAGTTATATAAAAAATTGTCTTTGATCTTTCAAGCTGTTTAATGCCACTCAGTGGGTGTTGCATGCATCAGTCCAAAATAAGTTAAATAAAAAGTGCCCATCCATTAAAAAAACGTCTCACCCAGCTCTGGGGGGGTTAACAAAGTCCTCCTGTAGCGAATCTATACGTTTTTGTAAGAAAAATATCCATATTCAAAACGTAATAATCACTTTAATCTAGCTTGTGCCAACAGTTGTACACGGAAGCAGCTCCGGGCTGATGACGTATGAGGTCAGCGTTGCGCATGCGACGGTGAGTCTCGTGAAAACCAACGTTTGTTAACAGGAGCAAAGGAAGCAAAGTTTCCTTACTTTAGCAAAGGAAAACCAGTCTCCTCTTGGCTTATATCGAAATCCTCCGACATTCTTCTTTACAAATCCTCATTTTGTACTTCTAATAAGTGACCGGTGTTTTGTTTTGATCTCTCCGCTGCGCTTCCGCGTTCGTCACTTCTGAGCAGCGCATTCGCAGCGCTGACCTCATACGTCATCCGCCCGAAACAGTGAGCGCAAGCTAGATTCAAGTGATTATTAAGTTTTGAATATGGATATTTTTCTTACAAAAACGCATCGATTCGCTACAGAAGGCCTTTGTTCACCCCCCGGAGCCGTGTGAGACACTTTTTATTAAGGATGGGCGATTTTTATTTAACTTCTTTTGGACTGAAGCAATGCAACACCCGCTGAGTGGCATTAAACAGCTTGAAAGATCAAAGACTGTTTTTTAATATAACTCTGACTGGATTCGTCTGAAAGAAGAAAGTCATATACACGTAGGATGCCTCGGGGTGAGTAAAACGCAGCCTGATTTTCATTTTTGGGTGAACTAACCCTTTAAGCAGAGCTGTTAATGAAGTCTTATAACAAGAAGCTTCTTCAATTGCTAACCATTCTGGCTTGTCACCTAACTCCACTGAACCAATCTTCCTCCACCACGCTAAAGTATTTAAGTTAGCTGCCCAATAATAATAATTAAAATTGGGAAGGTCAAGTAATATAGTTCATGAGACCTAAGATCATTCTATAAATGGTGCGACTTGATTCATTAATGCAGAATGTGCATTTACAGGTGCTTTTTTTTTGTGCATTTTATCGGCTATCCATTTTATAATATGTAAGTGTACACAACAGTACATACTACAAATCAAGTGAAATGCATAGTTTATTTTCTTGTTACTCCGTACATGAGATGTTGAATTGGTGTGTGACATACTTGATATAAATTCATTTTAAACAGCTTAAACAACTAAATTTGATGTTTTCATTTGTGTATAACTCTAATACATGCCGTTTTCATGATCTCATATTTATTTAGAGACTACTTATTTGTGACCCTGGAGCACAAAAGCAGTCTTAAGTCGCTGGGGTATATTTGTAGCAATAGCCAAAAATGCATTGTATGGGTCAAAATTATTGATTTTTCTTTTATGCCAAAAATCATTAGGATATTAAGTAAAGATCATGTTCCATGAAGATATTTTGTAAATTTCCTACTGTAAATATATTAAAACTTAATTTTTGATTAGTAATATGCATTGCTAAGAACTTCATTTGGACAACTTTAAAGATGATTTTCTCAATATTTAGATTTTTTTGCACCCTTAGATTCCAGATTTTAGTTGTATCTCGGCCAAATATCGTCCTATCCTAACAAACCATACAACAATGGAAAGCTTATTTATTCAGCTTTCAGATTATGTATAAATCTCAATTTGGGAAAATTTACCCTTATGACTGGTTTTGTGGTCCAGAGTCACATTTATGTTTTTAATGTCTTTTAGTGCTTTATATTATACATCCTAACTATATATCTGAACAAGTTAATAACCGATTCTTCTGAATAGTGAGGGAATGAGAGAGCTATTCGACCGATTCAAACCAGTAACTCATGTTTTTGAGACTTTTCGGCTGATTGATTCAAAAGAACCGGCTCATAGGATTCACTTGTTCATCATTTGCCTGATTCAACAATGGTCAACTGCAGTTGGTCATGCAGATGGTTTAGATGAGTTGTCTGTTTATTTTCTCTCATCACATTCAATTCAGCCTCCAAACAGCTCGCTGGAGATTCATTAGTGGATCAGGAGTTTTTCAGTATGATCCAAAGATTCAAGGATCTTTAATGGAACCAAATGTCATGAAAATCATTGGGTTCTGTTTGTTTTTTTATTGATTTATTTCATAGAACATATTTTGAATAAGAACATGTACTTGATTCCCAACTCAATCCATGCATTTATAGCACTAGGACTGTAACAGAGAAAAACCTAATTATTGCAGAATGTGATTTTCATTACATTTCCCTCTGGACCTTTTTAATGAAAGCAAGAAAGCGTATGCGCTAGTGGTTCTAAAGTTAAGCTCTTCTGAGGGGAACCATGAATTCAGGCATTGCTGCAGGGACAGATAAATCTACAAGCATGTCTGGGTCACTTTTCTTAATTAGAAGACTAGTGCACATCCCTTATTTACAACAGATGATGCATTTTAAGGGAATGATAGAGAGATCTATATAGAATGTGCCCAGTGCTGCACACATTTTTTTAGACTAGCACAGCACACACACATTCATTGTTGGTTTATATTAAGTATTCAAGATGAAATATGATTCCACTACCCAAATGTAATGATTATGAATGAAATAGCTCATACTTCGCAGAGCAAACACCTAAAAGTATTCATCATACACACTACTATTAAAAAGTTTGAGGTTTGTAAGATTTGTTTGAAGGAAATACTTTTATTTATTGCATTGAAAAATTGTTCAAAAGTGACAGTAAAGACTTTTACATTGTTACAAAAATCTATTTAAAATAAATACTGTTCTTTTGAACTTTCTAATAATCAAAGAATCCTGAAAAAACAAATCATGGTTTCCGCTCTTGATTATGTAGGTGTCATGTCATGATTATGAAGGTGTCATGTCAGTCTTATGCACACCCCTTCAAGTAAAGTGTAACCGAAAATCTTCATAAATGAACAACCTTTATTAATTTTGAAGCCTAAATACAACCGTCAGAAGTAAAAAGCTAAAGTTAGGTTCTAAACAAAGTACTCCATGATTGCATGACTTTTACATCACCAGACAACAGCTTCTGATAACTCTTTCAATCTGTATATAAAAAACACCTTTCCTGATATGGAAGATGTTTCCACCATGGGATTAAAATGTAACTTGCAACTTTTTATCTCTTTTTATTTTATCTCGCAGTTCTGAGTTTTCTGAAAAAAGTCTGAATTGTGAAATTTAAACGCAGATTTGTGAGATATAAACTTGCAATTGTGAAAATAAATATAATAGTGAGATAAAGTTGCAACTATCTTTTTTATTTTATTTTTTCTGTGGTGGAAACAAAAAAGCAGAATTGAAAGATATAAACTCAGAAATCTGAGAAAAATCTCACAGTTGCGAGATATAAATTCAGAATTATGAGACAAAAACTCAAAATGGTTTTTATGGTAACACATTACAATAAGGTTTCATTAGTTATGTTCATCTTTGTTCATGTTAGTTACTGAAAATACAGTATTCATGTGAATTCACAGTGCATTAACTGTTAACAAGCACAACTTTTGATTTTAATAATGCATTAGTAAATGTTGAAATTAACATTAACTAAGATTAATAAAGGCTGTAGAATATGGTTCATTCTTAGTTCATGTTAACTAAAGTAGTTGACTAATGTTAACTAATGAACCTTATTGTAAAGTGTTATCGTTTTTATTTGGAAACTGACTTCCATAGGATCTACTGTGCTCTTTTTTTGTGCTATTGTGGATGAATCTGATTCCACTATTATGTTGCTTTATTTTGGAGAAAATTCAGATCGTGTATACATGCATCTCTTTTGGATAGGTTTTCTTTGTGCCTAAATGTGCCTCCAGGAACTCTAATGCTTTAAAATCCAACTCATTGTGTGATATGTTAAATATATGTTTTTGTCTACAGCTTGATAAACTGATAAAAGTGATAAAAGTAGGAAAGTTTGATGTAGAATAGCTTGTAAAAGTGCAAGAATGAACACAACTAGGCTGTAAAAGCGGACGAGGGAGTTTACGTGTTCAGTGTGAGGACATTTAATGTCCCTGACAACATCTGTAGTCCATTTAAACTCTTGTTAGCAACTGACAAGTATAAGCTTTGAAAAACCACAAGGAAGTATTACTGATTACGTCCAGGTTTTAGGACTCATTCCTGCACTCTATAGACCAGAGGTGTCAAACTCAATTCCTGGAGGACCGGAGCCCTGCAGAGTTTAGATTCAAACCTAATTAAACCGTCATCCGTCCCTCGGGTCATTTTGACCCCCAAACTCATTTTTTAAGATTTTTTAAAAATCGAGCGTTGATCTTTATGGTATGAGACTTTGCTACATTTGTCACACTTGAACCGGGAATACATGAAAAAAAAATTGAGTGAATTTGAGCAGTTTAAGTGGGTGCTATAAAAAAGTATCAAAAGTGTCCCTCACGGGTCGTTTTGACCCTCCACGGGAAAAGCATGGAATTTACGAAAAAACTGCGGATTTTTTTAATATAATTTTGTCACACTTGAGCATGGAGCACACACAAAAAAATTTGAGGATTCTATGTGGGTGTAATAAAAAAAGTATTACACCCACAAGTATCACATTCATTTTGACCCAGCCATAGGAATGAATGGAATGTCCGAAAAAGCATTTTTTCATTTATTTTGACTATACAAAATCTGACACAATCCAGAAAAGATGCATACCCAAACAAAGGGCTGAGACTGCAGAATGTCCTCAATGCACAAAAAACTCACATATCCACACACACAGGCACACGCACAGACAAACACACACATGGCGCACACACTCCCATTGAAACACATTATAGCTTGTTTGTTGTTTCTGCAGGGAAACGACTGTCATTTAGAAAAAAATTTTGACTTAACAGTTCAATTTGAGTGATGGGGTGGAGACCAATGACTTTATATCATATTTATATTTTTAAATGTATATTTTACATTTATTACATATTTATTAAACTGTATGAATATGCATGTGTTTGGATTGAAATTCAGTATAAAGTTTTTTTAATGTTTTGATATATATCTTAAAGCTTAATGAAGCCTCAAGTTGGTGTAGTTTTAAACATTTCACTTGTTTGGCTCATATAAGAATCGCCATAGGGTTCTATAGGCTCCTCTAGTGGCTGTAATCATAAAATGCAATTTTATGTAAACTTTCCCCACCAGATGGCATCAGAGACACTCAGTGACCTAGGTCCTGATGGATGATCATGTTTAAAGTAAATATATGCAGAAATTGTCTGTCTTTGTTTTTTTTGGTGAAAAAAACGTGTCAAATATGCTAATTGTCACAAAAAATATCCGTGAATAAAATAAAAATCACAAAAAAAAACCCACATAAAAAATTAGGGAAAGAAAATTATAAAAATTGACCAATATAATCTTAAAAATGGACCAATATAAGCAAAAATAAAATTAGTGTCATTTTTGGCCTTCGGGTCATTTTGACCCACGAGGGACACTTTTGTTACAGGTTCGGGAGGGACGGATGAGGGTAAACACACCTGATCCAACTAATCATGTCCTTCAGACTTATTTGAAAACTACATGGTATGTGTGTTGCAGCAGTGTTGGAACAAAACTCTGCAGGGCTCCGGCCCTCCAGGAATTGAGTTTGACAGCCCTGCTATAGACAAATACACTTAAGTGGCTTTAGATGTCAATATTTTGTTTGTTTAATGTCTCTGTCATTACGTCTGTCACTGACCTATAGGTGACACTGACTGATTGCTGTAAAGTTAGAATTAGTTCAAATTTGAAGCACAGCCTCCTGAATTCCTCTTTTTCTATCGCTTGTCTTCATTCTGTGCCGTTTGCTCTTTATTAGTCTGGTTTACTGAGAGCAAACAGGTACAAAAAATAGAAGAAAATCTGTGAATCAGTTCTGATTTAGTGAATCGCCTCAGATTCAGTGATTCATTCATGTCCTATTTTAAACTACATCTGCTGTATGATGATTGTGGAACCAAGATGGGGGTTACATGATTCATAAAATCAGAAAGCAGAGGCAGAACAGCCTGTTTACTGAATATAAATCTTTTCTCTGAGCTTGAATCTGAGCTTTCCAAGTCAAGCCCTAAAAGAACAAATACACACACACACACACACACACACTTACAGGCAAAAGTAGCTTCATGAATTGTCCTTCTTCACTCTATAATGATTGTTTGTTTGCATTGTACTTCTGCTCCTATTCAACAAGCTTCACATTGATTACTGATAGAAGAGTCGTCTTGATCCTTGTAAACTGTCGCTCTTTTATAATTTTTTTCCCTCCAAAGTGTCTTTGAAAAACTGTAGACCTTGTCAATTTTATGCAAATCCTTTTGGTCTCCAATATATCAGTATCAAACACTAGACGATTAATGGTTAATCCATTAGAGCCGATGTTTTCAGACAGCATTAAAGCATATTCTGTGTTTATTTGCACTCGTATGATTAATATTCCAGCACAAAGGAATCTGAGACTGTTTTCAGTCCGTCCTCTGATGTTGACTTCGCACTGGGACGTCTTTGTTGATCGTGTCCTCAAAGACGACGTTGAAAAGAATCATAAATGAGACCCTCAAGGACACGTAAACCTCTGCTGCTGAATAAACATGAATCTACCCGTTTAATTTACAGGGTCACGTGGCCGCTTGTTATGACATATCTCCTCTCAGACGGATTGAGCCATAAGGTTACTGAAGTAATAAATGCTTGTGTTTCTGAAGAGCCGAGAATATCGCTTCAGCCTAATTGTCTTCCAATGTTTCCTGTTTTCAAAGTCAAAAGCGTGTGCCTGAAACTGATAGCAAGTGAAGGTACGTTGATGTTGATGACTTCTTTCTGTTTTGCAGCACTGTAGTGATAAAAACAGCCGCTGCCGTTCAGAAATGAATATCCTTGCGGCCTGGCAGAGAGGTTACACCGGTCGAAATGTGGTCGTCACCATCTTGGACGACGGTATTGAGAGGAACCATCCGGATCTGGCACAGAATTATGTGAGATTATCTTGATCTCCTGTTGCAGGTCATGCATTATTGCTGTAAATGCATTTTATTATGGCAAGACACTAGAGCAGAAACACTGGTCAATTGTTGAGATTTTCATAAATTGTCTTCTTTCAGACTAGAAAGAAAATGCCCAAAATACACTTTTAAGTGTTTATTTTATTATACTTTATATATATATATATATATATATTTTTTTGTCTGTAGATTTCAATTATATATATATATTTAAAATCTGTTTTCTAAAAATGTGAACAAAATGAAACAAGAATTTTTAATCTGGCTTTATCCAATGTTCAGGTTTCTGTTCTGGGGATGTATGCAAATACGTGCATATTTAAATAGATAATACCTCATTTGCATATTTAAACATAAGATCTCAGAAAAGTTTTAATAAAAAATGTTTGCAATTCTTAATGAAGTCAATCAGAAATAAGATTAATTTATTATTAGTTCATTTTTATGTATTATTGATTTTTAGTTTTACCCTATTCACTTGGGGTGTCTTGAGTATTATTATCATTAATATAGTATGATAGTCTTACTTATTATTTCTTAATATTCTTGTGCTGTATTTTCCATTTTTTAAATGTCTATAGTTTTTAATTTTATTTCAGATTTATATTTGTTATTTTCTGTTTCAGCTTTAACTTAAACTAAGCAAAAATTACAAATATTTCCTTGGCAACTACACTGTAAAAAAATATTTTTTCAAAGTTGTAAATAAGACAGATTATTAGAGTAGGTTTTAAAAAAAAAAAAAAACTATTTCACTATTTTTACTTCAAAATTTCAATTAAATAAATTTAATTAAATGCGTTACTTGCTGTTTTTTTTGTAAATATTAGTGAAATTTACTAGCAATTTTTACACCAATTATTCACTATTTTTATTTAAAATTTTTGCATTTAATTCAATGTGTTACTTGCCATTTTTTGTAATTATTAGTGAAACTTATTAGCCAGTTTTACACCACTTTTTATTCAGTCTGATATTTACTTATTTTTTTTCCGATAACATTTTTTTTTTGTCACTTCACGTAAATGTTTTTAATATTTTCAGTTTTAGTTATCAATGTTAGCACTGCTCAACACAGTATGATTTATAAAATAGTAGTTTGTTACATATTTTAGCACTGTGAAAAAGTGAAAGTGACATGTGGCCAAGTATGGTGACCCATGGTGACCCATACTTGGAATTAATGCTCTGTATTTATCCCATCCAAAGTGCACACACACACACACCAAAGGGCACCTCAGTCGTGGTATTGAAGGTGGAAGAGAGCACTGTACATTCACTCCCCCCACCTACAATCCCTGCCGGTACGAGACTCAAACCCACAACCTTTGGGTTATGAGTCCGACGCTCTAACCATTAAGCCACGACTTCCCCAGATCACTACAGTGGTAAACGAAATGTTAATTTCACTCTAAATTCCTCAGAAGATTTATTTGTGTGTTTGTGCGTTATATAGGACCAGCTGGCGAGCTACGATGTGAACGGAAATGACTACGACCCGACCCCACGATACGACTTCAGCAATGAGAACAAGTGAGTCCTGATGTCCTCAAAACTACTCTTGTGTTAAACGCACCTCGTTCGCTGCAAACACGTGCGTGTCTGGCTCTGAATGATCATGCAGTGGGTAAGTGAAAGCCGTCACATCCTGTAAGCAGTGAGATTATCTAATAAACCCGGTGGGATTTCATAATGATCTCGTGTGGAAGGAAGTGAGTTTGGAAAATCTCAGCGTTATTTTTGAGCAGAAGACTGGAAATGTTGGCTTCACAGAGTCTCACCTGCAAGCTGAAAAAACTGGAATATTGATTAGAATTTTGAAGGTCATAAGCTTTGTGTAGTTAAATAACTGGTTAGTTGGAAGACATACAAGACCACTGATAATCTCCCTCGATCTGGGGCTCCATGCAAGATCTCACCCCGTGGGGTCAAAATTATCACAAGAACTGTGAGCAAAAATCCCAGAACCACACGGGGGGACCTAGTGAATGACCTGCAGAGAGCTGGGACCAAAGTAACAAAGGCTACCATCAGTAACACACTGCGCCACCAGGGACTCAAATCCTGCAGTGCCAGATGTGTCCCCCTGCTTAAGCCAGTACATGTCCAGGCCTGTCTGAAGTTTGCTAGAGAGCATTTGGATGATCCAGAAGAGGATTGGGAGAATGTCATATGGTCAGATGAAACCAAAATATAACTTTTTGGTAAAAACTCAACTTGTTGTGTTTGGAGGAGAAAGAATGCTGAGTTGCATCCAAAGAACACCATACCTACTGTGAAGCATGGGGGTGGAAACATCATGCTTTGGGGCTGTTTTTCTGCAAAGGGACCAGGACGACTGATCCGTGTAAACGAAAGAATGAATGGGGCCATGTATCGTGAGATTTTGAGTGAAACCCTCCTTCCATCAGCAAGGGCATTGAAGTTGAAACGTGGCTGGGTCTTTCAGCATGACAATGATCCCAAACACACCGCCCGGGCAGCGAAGGAGTGGCTTCGTAAGAAGCATTTCAAGGCTCTGGAGTGGCCTAGCCAGTCTCCAGATCTCAACCCCTTAGAAAATCTTTGGAGGGAGTTGAAAATCCGTGTTGCCCAGCGACAGCCCCAAAGCATTACTGCTCTAGAGGAGATCTGCATGGAGGAATGGGCCAAAATACCAGCAACAGTGTGTGAAAACCTTGTGAAGACTTACACAAAACGTTTGACCTCTGTCATTGCCAACAAAGGGTATATAACAAAGTATTGAGATTAAATTTTGTTATTGACCAAATACTTATTTTCCACCATAATTTGCAAATAAATTCTTTAAAAATCCTACAATGTGATTTTTTGGATTTTTTTTTCTAATTTTGTCTCTCATAGTTGAGGTATACCTATGATGAAAATTACAGGCCCAATTGGAACTTGCACAATTGGAGGCTGACTAAATACTTTTTTGCCCCACTGTATATATATATATTTAAAATCTGTTTTCTAAAAATGTGAACAAAATGAAACAAGAATTTTTAATCTGGCTTTATCCAATGTTCAGGTTTCTGTTCTGGGGATGTATGCAAATACGTGCATATTTAAATAGATAATACCTCATTTGCATATTTAAACATAAGATCTCAGAAAAGTTGTAATAAAAATGTTTGCAATTCTTAATGAAGTCAATCAGAAATAAGATAAATTTATTATTAGTTAATTTTTATGTATTATTGCTTTTTAGTTTTACCCTATTCACTTGGGGTGTCTTGAGTATTATTTTTGTATCAATAATATAGTATGATAGTCTTATTTATTATTTCTTAATATTCTTATGCTGTATTTTCCATTTTTTAAATGTCTATAGTTTTTAATTTTATTTCAGATTTATATTTGTTGTTTTCTGTTTCAGCTTTAACTTAAACTAAGCAAAAATTACAAATATTTCCTTGGCAACTACACTGTAAAAAAGTGATTTTTCAAAGTTGTAAATAAGACAGATTATTGGAGTAGGTTTTACAAAAAAAAATACTATTTCACTATTTTTACTTCAAAAATTTAATTAAATACATTTAATTAAATGCGTTACTTGCTGTTTTTTTGTAATTATTAGTGAAATTTACTAGCAATTCTTACACCAATTTTACACCAATTATTCACTATTTTTATTAAAAATTTTCACATTTAATTCAATGTGTTACTTGCCATTTTTTGTAATTATTGGTGAAACTTACTAGCAATTTTTACACCAATTTTTATTCAGTCTGATATTTACTGACAGTACAACTGGAAAGCTTTAATTTTTTTCCCGATAACATTTTTTTTTCACTTCACGTAAATGTTTTTAATATTTTAGTTAACAATATTAGCACTGCTCAACACAGTATGATTTATAAAATAATTGTTTGTTACATATTTTAGTGACATGTGGACATGAGTCCGACGCTCTAACCATTAGGCCACGACTTCCCCAGATCACTACAGTGGAAAACGAAATGTTAATTTCACTCTAAATTCCTCAGAAGATTTATTTGTGTGTTTGTGCGTTATTTAGGACCAGCTGGCGAGCTACGATGTGAACGGAAACGACTACGACCCGACCCCACGATACGACTTCAGCAATGAGAACAAGTGAGTCCTGATGTCCTCAAAACTACTCTTGTGTTAAACGCACCTCGTTCGCTGCAAACACGTGCGTGTCTGGCTCTGAATGATCATGCAGTGGGTAAGTGAAAGCCGTCACATCCTGTAAGCAGTGAGATTATCTAATAAACCCGGTGGGATTTCATAATGATCTCGTGTGGAAGGAAGTGAGTTTGGAAAATCTCAGCGTTATTTTTGAGCAGAAGACTGGAAATGTTGGCTTCACAGAGTCTCACCTGCAAGCTGAAAAAACTGGAATATTGATTAGAATTTTGAAGGTCATAAGCTTTGTGTAGTTAAATAACTGGTTAGTTTGAAGAGAGATCTGAAGTTTTGTAGGTTTATCAGTCTTGCTAGGCAGTTGCTAGAGTGTTAGGTAGTTGGTAGCAGTGTTGGGTTAATGATTTACAAGTAATGTGAGTTACGTAAACATTACTTTTTCAAGTAACTCGTAAAGTAACGCATTACTTTTTAATTTACAAGAAAAAGAATCACTTTTTAAAAAAAATAAGAAACGCTTAAAAAGTAACTAAGTAACGCAATTAGTTACCTTTTTAGGGATAAGGATTAATGCAATATTGTAATGCATTGCTTTTAAAGGAACACTCCACTATTTTTGAAAATAGGCTTATTTTCCAACTCCCCTAGAGTTAAACAGTTTTCGAATCCACTCAGCCGATCTCCGGGTCTGGCGGTAGCACTTTTAGCATAGATCATTGAATCTGATTAGACCGTTAGCATCAAGGAACTTTGGGTGCAGCAGGCGCAATGATATTACGCAGCGCCTAAAAATAGTCCCAGCTAGGTAACTTCCAATAAACCTATTTTCAGGCGCTCTATGGTACGGCAGCAAAGTTCCTTGATTATTACACCGGAATGAGAGTATAGTTCCTAGCCATATCGGCCTAGAAAATCGCAACTTTTAATTTTCCGTCAGTCTTAGTACACGATGTAACTACAGAAGAGTCAAGTTTTAAATAGGAAAAATATAGAAACTCTTTGGTCATTTTTGAGCAAGATGCTAATGGTCTAATCAGATTCAATGATCTATGCTAAGCTACAGCTAAAAGTGCTACCGCCAGACCCGGAGATCGGCTGAATGGATTTGAAAACGGTAAAACTCAACTGTTTAACTCTAGGGGAGCTGGAAAATTAGCCTATTTTCAAAAATAGTGGAGTGTTCCTTTAAAAATAACTTTCTTCAACACTGGTTGTTAGGGTGTATTACGGTGCTGGCTATTTTGGACCTCAATAGATGGATCTATGATAAATAGAGCAATGTTTTGAAACTCTGGCATCTTCAAGAGCTGTGATATTTGGAGCGATGCAAATAAAGGCATAACGCTGGACTCTTGTGGTTTTGCATGTCAAAGAATGAAGAGGCTTTCTTTTGTGGCGAAGCACTGAAACCAATCCAATCCTGTGGGATTGAGGCTGGTGTGGATTTAATTGAAAACGTCTCTGTCTTTGATAAGGACCTGATTTAATGCTTGTTCTCTGCATGTTTACCAATGAACTCTGCCAAGAGCTCAGGCAAAACTTCAAAGCGCTGTTTTGTTAATACTCATCAGGACATTTGAAACCGGAAAACAATGCGACGTTCAATTCATATTTGAAGTGTGGAACGTGCCTCCTGGAGCAGAAACTTAATTGAGTGAGGACAGGAAGAGCTGTGATATTTGGAGCGATGCAAATAAAGGCATAACGCTGGACTCTTGTGGTTTTGCATGTCAAAGAATGAAGAGGCTTTCTTTTGTGGCGAAGCACTGAAACCAATCCAATCCTGTGGGATTGAGGCTGGTGTGGATTTAATTGAAAACGTCTCTGTCTTTGATAAGGACCTGATTTAATGCTTGTTCTCTGCATGTTTACCAATGAACTCTGCCAAGAGCTCAGGCAAAACTTCAAAGCGCTGTTTTGTTAATACTCATCAGGACATTTGAAACCGGAAAACAATGCAACGTTCAATTCATATTTGAAGTGTGGAACGTGCCTCCTGGAGCAGAAACTTAATTGAGTGAGGACAGGAAAAAAAAAAACTATTGAAAGAGACTTTAGTAAAGAAGTGCACAGAGCGAACGAGAGCGAGTGAACAATGCACAAGATAAAAATGCAATGAATGCCTTTCTAATGCAGCGGGCAGCGCTCCTGTGCTCCTGGATCCGCAGTGACGGTGTGGACAGAGGATTGACTCGCATATCAGTTTGAAAATGTGCCTTCAGAAACAAAGTTTTCGCTTTTGGTTACCAAAATTTAGTTCACCCTATTTACTTTGTTAATGCACGATCATGTGACACTGAAGACTTCTGAAAAATCAGCTTTGTATCAAAGGAATAAATTACACTTTACAATATGTTAAAATAGAAAACAGTTATTTTAAATTGTAATAATATTTCACATTATTAATCCTTTTACTGTATTTTTTAATAAAATGCACAGTGTTTACCATATTTAAAAAAAAATTCAGTCTTGATGAGCATATATATGGTGATATCAAATTATTTCACAATATTAGACATTTTTCCTCAAAATAACTATATATTTAGAAAAGAAAGACTCAAAATTCTGATCAAACTCAGGCTCAAACACACTAACATATCTCAAATATTAAATCTTTGTGAGATTTATGATTGCATTTTTTTTTCTTTTCAGGCACGGAACGCGATGCGCAGGTGAAGTCGCTGCTGTAGCCAACAACTCGCACTGCATTGTGGGTATAGCCTACAACGCCCGCATAGGAGGTATGTGTGAGTCTGTTTACAGTCTGCTTACTTTGCCGCTCGCCTTATTGTCTCAGAAATGTCAGATGCTATTTCAGTTTGAGACCCATTGCAGCCTACACTCAACACACACACAGATCTGCAAAACTGACCAATTGCCGCAAGTGGATAAACCCTTATCAAGCAACAGGTTTCAGACGCAGTCGGAGCAGATAAGACAGGATTATTCTGCATGTGTGCACAGGATTAAAGCGGCGAGATGCCCGCGCTCCTGTCCGCCTCTGCTCGGAGAGTTCATTAATTTAGTGGACAGTGAACTGCCCGACATTCATGCGCTCATCAGCAATTAATCCTATGAAAAGACTGATCAGTTTTAATCAAAAAGCAGATATCATGATATGCCATCAGCCATCTGGGGCCGTTTTGTTCAGGCCCGCAGCTGCGCTGAAAGATGCAAATTTTTCTTTATTGTACTCGCAGGTGGCAGGACTGACAAATGCATCCTTTGCTCAGACTTGGCGGGGTTTCTGTCAGTGTTGTTCCAGTCGCACCATATGCCAAATGCATAAAGTTCAGCGATGCAACTCTGAGGATAGGGCTGCATATGCAAGTCTGTTTATTAGGAGCCAAGCGAGAGTTGAATTCATTTGCTTTCATTCATTTTACTCGCTGGCACTGGAGCCTGTGGCAGCAGTTTGAAGGAAAGTTGTGGAATGTGACTTCATAACCCACACTGTTTGTGGACCCACTTCAGCAATATTTAAATCCACAACAGTTGAGATATTAAGGGTGTTTGTTTAGCTGGTGCTAAAATGTTATACATTTTTCTAACAAGCTAAACATTTTAAGCACTAATTTGGACTGTTGAACACTCTAAAAAAAAATTGTTAATAGAGTCAATTTAATGTTTACCTTCATTTAGTCTTTTTACTTTTCAGCACAAACCACAAAAACTTCAACATAACAGAAAATCTTTTAAATGTCTAACATAATAGCATTAAACACTAAAGGGTCTTTCCCTTCACTTAAAGTGCCCCTGTTATAGGGCTGCATATGCAAGTCTGTTTATTAGGAGCCAAGCGAGAGTTGAATTCATTTGCTTTCATTCATTTTACTCGCTGGCACTGGAGCCTGTTGCAGCAGTTTGAAGGAAAGATATGGAATGTGACTTCATAACCCACACTGTTTGTGGACCCACTTCAGCAATATTTAAATCCACAACAGTTGAGATATTAAGGGTGTTTGTTTAGCTGGTGCTAAAATGTTATACATTTTTCTAACAAGCTAAACATTTTAAGCACTAATTTGGACTGTTGAACACTCTAAAAAAAATTGTTAATAGAGTCAATTTAATGTTTACCTTCATTTAGTCTTTTTACTTTTCAGCACAAACCACAAAAACTTCAACATAACAGAAAATCTTTTAAATGTCAAACATAATAGCATTAAACACTAAAGGGTCTTTCCCTTCACTTAAAGTGCCCCTGTTATGGGTAATGAAAGGTTCATATTTTGGTTTTGGGAGTCCCCAACAACAGGTTGACATGCATGCAAGGGCAAAAAACACTTTCATTGTCTTATAATATGCATTTATTTTTACCTTATTTGCTCAACGACTCCCAAACGATTTGCTCAACGATTCATTTTTCCAAAGCCCTCCTTTGCGTGATGCTAATCTGCGCTGATTGGTCTGATTAATCTCATTTTCATTTCATCATGTCTATAATGCCTGATAAAGCAGCGTTTGTGAGCGCAGTGCTGCTTTGTGTACAGTGTTACCGGGGAAACCGCTATTTTTACCGCTTCAAAAGTGGCAGCTAGTGGCAAAGAATGAATTTGCATTTTCATTCAGACCAACGCGAAAGGCAAGTGGGCGGGCAATATGCTAATGTTTCATGTTGACGTCACCATGAAACGGCTTGGGATTCATTTTAAAATGACTCGTTTTAATGATTCAGAGTCGACTCTTTCTTTTGAGAGACAATAACTTTATACATGGTGCACATTCAGATTGAAAACTTTGCAGGATGTTTTCATTCACTTAGAGCTGTGTTACACACTGCATGAAAGGCAATTTTCAAAAATCCATAATAGGGGCACTTTAATTTCAACATTGACTCTCGTGATCCAGTCCTACACAAAGCATGCTGGGAACTAGAAATCCACTACCCAATTTCCAAAGTTAACAAGACAATTTGATTAAATAACTATAACTTGAATTTTTTAAAGAGGACATAACACACAGTTTCTGCCAAACACGTTAATCTTGAGTACTAATAGAGTAGTATTGCATCCTTCATATCTCCGAAGAGTCTTTAGTTTTATCAGATTTATAAAAGAGAGATACAGCTTTACACTTCTCTCTGAAAACAGCCAAGCTCCTGGAGGCGGAGCTAAAGAGTCACGTAGGCGGAGCTAAAGAGACACAAGCACTTACGCGCCGATTGGCAGTAAAACACAGAAATTTGATGCAGTTTTACGTACCGCCTGAGCTTCCAGCTCATGACAGGGATCTTTTATCACTGGGACTGCTCCATCTTTCAGTATCAAATGATGTGCAAATCCAGCGTCGGACTGGGCCTTGTTTATAAAACATTCGTCACCGAAATGATGGGAACAAACAAACACACTCACACAACTCCGTTGCTGTCCCAGAAAAACAAACTGCATCCACTGTTCACATAACGCTGGGTTCTTTGGCAAGCTGAACAAGGTTATCTTTCCCTCACATCCAAAAGCACACTTCTTTGGAGACATTCTTCTCCAGCAAGTCCTGTGCAGCGCTGCCGACGATTTCCGTAACACGAATGAAGCACGTTGATGGGAATGAGCATAAGAATCCAACTCTTTAACAGTGTGCTATGCATGAAATAGCATTAGACCTCCCCTTTAAGAAAATCAATTAATGCACAATTTTAAGTTTACATTACACACAATGTTCAGCTAATGTAACTAAAAAGGTGAATAAATTAGAATTTTAAACTTGCAACCATGCATTCATTTAAGTTGTGGTAACAGGTCCCCGATTTATTTTTCGTTGGATGCCAGTTAAAATCAATAATTTAGCAGTCAGTACTTCTCCTCTTTTAATTCACTATATTGGTCACCATCTTGGATGTACCACATAGTGATCACATTGTTTTCCCGCTGCTCCTCCTACACAATTTCTCATCAAATTTCTTCATAGTCAAATTTGGGTCTGATGTTCATGCCGGACAAAGATGAACATCAGACCCAAAAAAAGCATCAGCATCTTCTTAGCTATGCATTCGTATTCAGGCTCAGATTGTGTCTCTTTGGTAGTGTTCACTATTGTGGCATTGTGGTGCAGTCGCTAAAGATCTTAGTTGGTTATTAAAAGGTTCTTGGTTTGAATCCCACATCCATAACCATCCCACTTTAGCGAAGTGCATCAAACCCCTTCTGTATCTTGCCTCTTAATGCTGCTTGCATCAATATGTATTTGATTCATTTTAATTTCTAAAGCTTTTCCCAAGGTACAAACTGCCCTATTGTTTCTCATAAAATATAACATAACAGAGGTGTTTATTTACTGCACAGAGAACAGTACAACAACAGAAACAAATTTCACTCAGGAATTGCTAGTAAATTTCAGAATTACAAAAGAAACGTCAAGTAACGCATAGAATTAAACGTAAAATGTTGAAGTAGAAAGACTGAAATAGTATTTTCTTGTAAAACGTACTCCATTAATCTGATAACACAATGAATTTGCTTAGCAATTAATAAGGCCTGCGTGCTCTGTGATAAAAAAACATCTGCCAGTCTCTTTACAGAATAACATATTTATGGGCAAAGACCATCTAAAAAAATAGCAGAGGACAAAATGAGCTGCTGCGTGAAAGGTGCATGAACCAAGTTGTCCTGAACAAGAGACATGCTTTATATTTATAGCTAAAAACAAACGTATAAGCATACAGTTGACAGATGCATGTGTTCTTTATAGTGCTTAAGACATGTTTTCCTCAGTGTAAAATTTACATTATAGGGTTATATTATAATTGTAATTTTTAATAGTCATTTAAACTGCTGACCAGATGTTGTTTTTGATCATGTAAGGCTTAATTTTAAACAGTTGTTGCACATAATGTAAAGTATAGTCTACATGGATATAATCACTTTTTTTGTCATAACCTTCAATTTACACCTTGTTTGGAGGACAACACTGGAGTAGCAAGTTTTTTCAATAAAATACAGAAACTAATTTTTTATTCGATTAATCAAAGATATATTCGACACATTAATCGATGACCAAAATAATCGTTTGTTGTATACAAGGATAGTGTTTGTTGACTGGATTAGCACATTTTTGTCATAATTTATCATCTGCCAAGTAAACATTTTGAAGTCTGTTCTCCTCAATAAGCTGCATGACCTAAGGATTTTAGGGTTAAATGCCAATAATAACCACATTTTGAAGAGGACAGATGATTGACTTGTTCCTCATCGAAATGTTGGCTGCACATCTCGTAATATATCTCAATTGTAAAGTCCTGTCAGCAAAATATTCTTCTTAAGATTTCCGGAGTGCTGTTTGAAAGAGAGTTGGTCATTTTTCCAAGCCAGATACAGACAGATTAGCACAATGAAAGACGTGCTTTAGGTCTTTTGGCTCAACAGTTGACGTTTTTTTCCCTGCTTAATCACTGAAACGCCGCCAAAGCTAGAACGTGTCAGATTCAAGCCAATGACTTCATCGCCTTCTAATGACATTTCTAATCTAAGCGGCCTGGCTTCGGCTGCTATGTAGAACTTCACGTCCCTTGACCGTAATTAGAAATGCAGAAATGATTAGTTCTTCTGCTCTGCGGGTTCAGAAAAGTGTTTACTCGGTGCTGTTTGAGAAGTCGAGAAATCAATTTGAGGTGTAATGCAGCTTGTTAGAAGTGAGAGGAATGATAGAGAAGTGTTGAGCCTCCTGCGTCTCCTCAGAGGTGTTTCAAGGAAGGAAAACTCTGTCACGTACTGAGTGTTGAGCATATGGTGTTAGAAATAATAACACACGCACACACCGTCTCACACTATACAATCAGGCTCTTTTCTAGTCTTAATATGAGCACATAGGAAAACAAACACACACGTTTGGTATTATATTATGGCTTATGGGCTATCTGAATTAAGCTGATTCATTTTGCCTACTCATTTCAGAAGGCCGTCAAAGATCTTGGCTGGTAGCTGAAAGGTCGTAGGTTTGAACCCTAACTTTCATCATCGTGCCCTTGACAGGGTTTCCCTGAGTCCTTAGAAAGCCTTAAAGGTGCTGTATGTAATTTTTTAAGCATAAAAATACCATAATATAATTTTTTTATCACTGTAACAGTGAAATGTGAATGAAATTCAACATAAAATGCTTTAAAATGTAATCTAACCATGTTTTAATGTCTATTTTTCTAAAATCTAGTGGCTTAAATATTTAGAAAATTAATTTTGTAAAAATAATTGCAAGTTTTGTCGCAATACTTAGTAGTTATTTATCTTTTTTTAGTAGTTAAGTGATCTGTCTGCTAGAGGCAGTGTTGTTATTGTCTTGTTATTTTCAGTAATTGGAAAAAATTATAATTTTAAACATTTTAAAATTTTTACAAATTTTTCAAAAAATTAAACGAAAAAAAAAAATTTTGATAAAAAATGGAAGGGCTAAAATGACTAAAACTAAAATAAAAAAAATCTAAATAGAAATATTAAAAACAAAATTAATAACATTTAATAACAAAAATGACAAAAGCACATTAACAAAATTGCAAAAACATAAACATGTATTTTGAAATGAAAATGAAAACTGGAAATAGAAAAATACAAGCTAATTCAAAATATTAATAGTAAATAAATACTAAATTAACACTGTATAGACAATTGCATGTTTATATATTAATCATACTATTATCATAACAAGTGATTAAGAAATAAAAAATAAGACTAAAATAAGAAATAAATAAAAAATAAAATATATTTATTAAAACATTTATTTTAAACAAACAAGAACAGAAAGCCATTAAAAATCATTAATATGTCTAGATCAGTATGTCCAGATGTTTTCAACCCTCAAATGATTCAATCACAATGTAGTTTTCCCCTGTTAAAAACTTACTATTCAATAATTTTTATTGACTTTTTAGTGATGATAAAGTATTTTTATTCATCTTTGATTTAAAAAAAGTTTTAAATTCCTTTTTTTTTGTAATTTGCTGTCTTAAAAACCTCTTAAATTCCCTTAAACATGCAGATGATGAAGTGGTTAACGAGAAGTCTGTTAATACTTTTCTCACATGTCTTCAGAAAATGTAAAAGTCTAGCATTGTCTTATTTATTTCCTAACTGCTGTTTTTAAACACGGACATAAACCCCCAACACACGCACACATATTGGAAGAGAGCATGTGTCTCCAATCCCAACATCTTCCTCGGGACCCCGTCGGTGGCACTGACCCCATTCATGTTTGTCCTTTTGAGAAACGCCAGTGTAATCAAGCTCATGTTTGATTGAAGACACACTCGAGCGCTAGCTCTCTCTGCCTGCGGCTACCAGAGCAGCTCTGTGGGTGACCCGCTGTTTCCCAGAAAACCAGAACAACGAAATATTTACAGAGCACTTTGCAAAAAAACCACTCGTCCCGTCACAGTCACGGAAGCACATTCTTTCAGAGGATAGCTGAATGTTTTAAAGGAATAGTTCACCCAAAAATTTGCTGAAAGTTTACTCACCCTCATGCCATCCAAGATGTAGATGAGTTTGTTTCTTCATCAGAACAGATTTGGAGAAACGTAGCATTACATCACTTGCCCACCAAAGGATCCTCTGCAGTGAATGGGTGCCGTCAGAATGAGAGTCCAAACAAACATCACAATAATCCACAAGTAGTCCACACCACTCCAGTCCATCAGTTAATGTCTTGTGAAGAGAAAAGCTGCGTGTTTGTAAGAAACAAATCCTACATTATGGTGCTTAAACTGTTGCTTCTGGCTTAAGCGCCATAATGTAGTCCTTTATCAATAAATTTGCTTTCTCCAGTGAAAAGTCGTCTTATCTGAATCGGGAGAGAAATATGCACCGATCAAGCACCTTTCATAAGCCAAAACAGTTCAAAAGCAAATATGTGGGTGGGTTTTGATGTGAGAGGACAATAGGGGATGGACTTTTTCACTGGAGGAAGCGTTATTATTATGGATTATGGACATTTAAAACATCTTTATGATGGATTTTGTTTCTTACAAACGCGCAGCTTATCGCTTCACAAGACATTAACTGATGGACTGGAGTGGTGTGGATTACTTGTGGATTATTGTGATGTTTTTACATTCTACTCATTCTGACGGCACCCATTCACTGCAGAGCATCCATTGGTGAGCAAGTGATGAAATGCTACATTTCTCCAAATCTGTTCCCATGAAGAAACAAACTCATTAACATCGTCGATGGCCTGAGGGTGAGCACATTTTCAGCAAATTTTTTACATTTTATTGAGGAGGACTTTGCCTAAAAAGAAGACATGCAAATCTAGAAGACCTACTGTACCTGTTAATAAGATTTAAAGGACACTTTGTCTGCATGTACAGTAAACTGAAGTTGTTAACTCTCTAACGCTCTGTATTTGTGTGTTTCTTGTACCAGGTGACCACAGACCTGCGTCAGAGATGTACCGAAGGACACACGGGCACCTCCGTGTCTGCACCCATGGTGGCGGGTGTCATCGCTCTCGCTCTGGAGGCAAAGTCAGTTTTCCGCTCCTCTACATCACTTTCCACAATTTTGACATTATTTTCCCATAAAACAGATGCAGAAACGGCTTCTTTATGTTCAATTTTTACATTTAATATTTAATTTTTTTATTGGCTTGAAGAGACAATTCTGTTATCATTTACTCACCCTTATGTTGTTCTAAACCTGTTTAAGAAGATATTTTTTTTTTAAGATCATCGCATTTTTTTCACAAAAAGTGTGTTTTTTGCCTATGATGTAGTGCTTTGTACAATACAGATTGTATCAAAGCAGCTTCAAAGTACAAAACAGAGAAATAACAGAATCATTGATGCAAACTTCTTCAAATATGAGACAAATTGATTCATTTCTGCTGTAAAGTAGCTCTAAAAAGACAGTAGTGTCATTTTTCAGCTCCAGTCAGTTCAGCGTTGATTCAATTCAGTTTTGTAATTGTGTCGATGTAGCATTTGTCAAATTTGAAACAAATTCGATTCAGCAGTAAAGCAGCTCATCATCATCATCATTCAGCTCAATTCAGATCAAGTTGTGTTCTCATCCGATGCAGTCAAGTCAGTAATATAACTGAATATTGAGTGTCTTTTCAAATTTGTGCATTGACATTTGGAATAAATGATGACAGGATTTTCCTTTTTAAGTCAACTATCTCTCTATTTACTTACTGTTAAACACTTGCGCTTCATAATCACTCCTCAGTTCTTCTGCAGTGCAAGATATTTTTTTTTTTAAGATCATCGCATTTTTTTCACAAAAAGTGTGTTTTTTGCCTATGATGTAGTGCTTTGTACAATACAGATTGTATCAAAGCAGCTTCAAAGTACAAAACAGAGAAATAACAGAATCATTGATGCAAACTTCTTCAAATATGAGACAAATTGATTCATTTCTGCTGTAAAGTAGCTCTAAAAAGACAGTAGTGTCATTTTTCAGCTCCAGTCAGTTCAGCGTTGATTCAATTCAGTTTTGTAATTGTGTCGATGTAGCATTTGTCAAATTTGAAACAAATTCGATTCAGCAGTAAAGCAGCTCATCATCATCATCATTCAGCTCAATTCAGATCAAGTTGTGTTCTCATCCGATGCAGTCAAGTCAGTAATAAAACTGAATATTGAGTGTCTTTTCAAATTTGTGCATTGACATTTGGAATAAATGATGACAGGATTTTCCTTTTTAAGTCAACTATCTCTTTAAATTTACTTACTGTTAAACACTTGCGCTTCATAATCACTCCTCAGTTCTTCTGCAGTGTGACACATCAGCCTGCCTGAATTTATTGTATGCATCTTTGATCATGACATTTTAAAACAAAAGGCTTTCGCTTAAATGCTTCAAATTAAGTGCGTAGACAAATATATTACTATTGTTATTATGACAGCCTAGCAACTGTCTTGCAACATTTACATTGAAGGAAGGAATAACTTTTCATGTCTATTTTAAATTCAGCTTTTTTAATAAACCTTTTTTTTCCATCAGTAAAACAAAATATTAAGGAAATCAAAATTGAATTAATCTTGCTTTCTGTCTGAGATTCTCTGCTTGTAAAGGCTTTTAGGCCTGCAATTCAATTTAGCGTAATCATGTATGTGTATATTGTGGTTTCAGCTCTCGAAACTAAATTATATTTACATTTGAGGCACGATTTGTGTATTTTATATTGTTGACCAAAACTTCATGTAATGTTAGCCACAGACTGAATCTATTTAAGCAGTATCACACAAGCAAGGAGTACTGCTGTTGAACTTACTGACGTGATCTTTCCACGTATTTGTCTGTGCGTGAGACTCATGACAGCAGAAGTGGAATAAAGCGACGTGTAGCATAGAGAGCTGCTTGGATGCAGCTGTTGCACTAAATTGAATTAGTGTCCCAAAAACCCCTACAAACGGAGCCTCTCAGATGGGAAGCAAACCAGAATTGTAATTCAATTCCGAAAACCAAATAAACTAGCTGTTGTTCTACAGAGAACAGTTCTCTCTTTCCTTTCTCATGTTATCTTTCAGTCCTCTGATAACCTGGAGAGATGTCCAGCATCTCCTCGTGAAGACGTCGAGACAAGCTCACCTGAAAGCCAGTGACTGGAAAACCAATGCAGCCGGACACAAAGGTGAACAGAACGGAAATGACTTTTCTGCATGATATTTACACCGTTTAAAATGTAGATGTGTGGTGTATTATAATTTATTGTGATTATTATTTGTCACTCATAATGTAAAAAGTGGACTCATGATCAGCTTGATTTTATATGGCACATTTCTGACATGTCAAAACGCATTGTAATATCTTGGTACTCTTGGTAGTATTTTTTTATTTTTAGTGGAATAGAACATCAAGTCATGTTTTTTGGGAATGCATGAGAGTGATTCACTAATTTACAAGGCAAAAAAAAAAATTTGTTTTTTATTCCAAATTTTTATCTTGTTTTCCAATTGAATATACAATTTTCCATAAACCAACATTAATTTATTTAAGATAAAGATAATAAGACTTAAAGAGATAGTTCACCCAAAAATGAAAATTCGTTCATCATTTACTCAAGTGGTTCCAGTTTCTTTCTTCTGTTGAACACAAAAATATTAAGCAAAAAATTAGCACAGAATATTTGAAATTTTGGTAACCAGACAGTTGACGGTAGTCATTGGCTTCCATAGTATGGGAAAAATATACTATGGAAGTCAACGGCTCAGCAGAAGAAGGAAACTCATAGTTTTGGAACAACTTGAGATTCAGCAGATGATTTGGGTGAATGTCTCTTTAAAATCTTTAATATTATGTTCATTTTTCCTTCTTCATTGGCAAATTGTGCAAGGATAAATTTAGTTAAAAATGTTGAAAAAGCTGTGCCAGTAGCTTAAGAAAAGTCAACTTAATTGAAGATATATTCGCTGAAAACAAACCCTACATTTTCAGAAATCTGATTAAGTGTATTTATGTAAAATAAAAATTTTAAATGAATTCTTCAAAATTTTGGGTGTGTGTGTGTGTGTGTGTGTGTGTGTGTGTGTGTGTGTGTGTGTGTGTGTGTGTGTGTGTGTGTGTGTGGTTCTAGTCAGTCATCTGTATGGCTTTGGTTTGGTGGATGCCGAGGCCATGGTGGTGGAAGCCAAGAAGTGGAGAAATGTTCCTCCTCAGCACACCTACAGCAAAACCTCTGACCGCAGAACCCGGTGAGTGAGGAGAAACTCACTTCAGCTTTCACACGGACAAATATAACTCACTTCTACTTTACTCAAATACTTTGAAAGAAATTAATACTTACAGTATATCCACCAAGAATGCATTAAATTAATCAAAAGTGACATTAACAACATTTATAATGTTCCAAAAAAAAAAGTATCTTGTTTTCCAGTACAAATGTTGAAATACCCATAAACCAATGTAAAATTACTTGAGGTTTTTATCAACTGTTTATTTATAAGGCACAACTGTTTTCAACATCGATACTGAAGACTGGAGTAATGATGCTGAAAATTCAGCTTTGCGTCACAGGAATAAATTACATTTTAAAACATATTTAAATAGAAAATAGTTATTTTAAATTGTAATAATATTTTAAATTTTTTCTAGTTTTTACTGTATTTTTGATCAAATAAATGCAGCCTTGGGGAGCAGAAGATAATATATATCTATCCATCCATTCATCTGAATATTCCAGTGAATTAAATACTTTACAAATGAAAGGTGCTTCATCTCATTTGATTATTTTCTCCTTCGATTTGTGCAAACTTAAAGGCGATTGCACATGACCAGGTCTTCTGCGGGTCTTAAAAAGTCTTAGACTTCATATCTGGTCGTTTTGCTTCTAAATGCCTCTTGATTTAAGAAACTTTTTGCACTGGAAAACGAGACAAAAATACTGAAGAAGAATATGTTTTTTGCAGTGTGATCAGAAGATACAGAAATAGTTATTTCCATATTCTAGTTCAATGTTATGAATGAAAGCATAATGGAGATGTGCTGAAAGTTGTATTTTCAATGTGTTGCTAATCCAACTAATTTTCTGCTCTCTACACATTTACATTTAGAGAATATATTGAAGTATTGTGTTTCCTTCAATTTGGTCCTTAAATTTTCCTTACTTGGATCTTCATAAAACCTTGAAGGTCCAAGCGGTCCAGAAACCCAAATGGACGATCCATCACAAATGCTATAAAACCTGCATTAAAAACAAAAGACTCCATGTTATGAAACCGTATATATGCTATCATACCACCCATCACAGTTACTGTCTCATCTCATTCGTTTAAAACACCTTTAATAATGTGGAAAACATCCCCAATCTACTGATCCGTTTCCAGACGCCCATCCTCACATGTGACCCTAATGAATCTGGACGTCTCTGCAACAAATCCTGCTTTTTCATTTCCAGCATTCTGATTGCTGATGGGAATAATTGGAGGCATTTATTTCCATCAGCAGGGCAGGGGTGGGAACTGGAGCATGTCTAAGCGTTATTAGCTCATAATGTGAATCATCATCGGGTCTTGAGAGGGATGGCGTGTCGCGCACTGCTTTGACGGGCGACGTACAATCAGCAGACGTGTCGAGATGAATCACTTGCGCATTCAGTACAACACTTCAATTCTCAATTCAAATCCCCTCGATATGACAAAAGACTCCATGTTATGAAACCGTATATATGCTATCATACCACCCATCACAGTTACTGTCTCATCTCATTCGTTTAAAACACCTTTAATAATGTGGAAAACATCCCCAATCTACTGATCCGTTTCCAGACGCCCATCCTCACATGTGACCCTAATGAATCTGGACGTCTCTGCAACAAATCCTGCTTTTTCATTTCCAGCATTCTGATTGCTGATGGGAATAATTGGAGGCATTTATTTCCATCAGCAGGGCAGGGGTGGGAACTGGAGCATGCCTAAGCGTTATTAGCTCATAATGTGAATCATCATCGGGTCTTGAGAGGGATGGCGTGTCGCGCACTGCTTTGACGGGCGACATACAATCAGCAGACGTGTCGAGATGAATCACTTGCGCATTCAGTACAACACTTCAATTCTCAATTCAAATCCCCTCGATATAACCTCTAAGAGCTCTGAATTACTGAGATATTGTGGCAAGCTACTAGGCTTTATGACAAAGTGTCCATATTTCCAGGAGTATCTCAATTTGTCTGCTGTGCCGCGGTGCTGTTGGATATTGAGCAGACACTTCCTGCATACAAAGGAAGCAAAACATTCTTCATTTTTGTTTGATCCAGCACAGTTTGTATGACAGTTTAGAGGAGTAACTAACTAAAAGTATATTATCATTTTTTTTTAAAGGGGTCGTGAACTGAGAAATTCAAATTCCCTTGATCTTTTGACACATAAGAGGTCATTGTACTATAAAAACATCCTGTAAGTTTCAGAACTCAAAACGTTCCCGTTAGTCTAAAAACAGCTTATATTGAAGTCAATCTGCCAAAACGACGGGTTGTGGAATGTGCCACTTTATGACGTAATAATGAGGCTAAACCCCGCCTCCACAGAAGAAGATCAACGCCTGCTTCTACATCACTGCCTGTTTAGCCCCGCCCACCGATTCACGCATGTAGTGTAAATAACAATGCAGAACATAATGCAGAAACCAAACGATAAAGATGCTCCGAAGACAACAAGACGCTGTGGAAAATCATGTGGCTGTGACAGCGCTGTGGCTGTCAATCAAACACGACTGTTAGCCAATCAATGGACGATCCATCACAAATGCTATAAAACCTGCATTAAAAACAAAAGACTCCATGTTATGAAACCGTATATATGCTATCATACCACCCATCACAGTTACTGTCTCATCTCATTCGTTTAAAACACCTTTAATAATGTGGAAAACATCCCCAATCTACTGATCCGTTTCCAGACGCCCATCCTCACATGTGACCCTAATGAATCTGGACGTCTCTGCAACAAATCCTGCTTTTTCATTTCCAGCATTCTGATTGCTGATGGGAATAATTGGAGGCATTTATTTCCATCAGCAGGGCAGGGGTGGGAACTGGAGCATGTCTAAGCGTTATTAGCTCATAATGTGAATCATCATCGGGTCTTGAGAGGGATGGCGTGTCGCGCACTGCTTTGACGGGCGACGTACAATCAGCAGACGTGTCGAGATGAATCACTTGCGCATTCAGTACAACACTTCAATTCTCAATTCAAATCCCCTCGATATGACCTCTAAGAGCTCTGAATTACTGAGATATTGTGGCAAGCTACTAGGCTTTATGACAAAGTGTCCATATTTCCAGGAGTATCTCAATTTGTCTGCTGTGCCGCGGTGCTGTTGGATATTGAGCAGACACTTCCTGCATACAAAGGAAGCAAAACATTCTTCATTTTTGTTTGATCCAGCACAGTTTGTATGACAGTTTAGAGGAGTAACTAACTAAAAGTATATTATCATTTTTTTTTAAAGGGGTCGTGAACTGAGAAATTCAAATTCCCTTGATCTTTTGACACATAAGAGGTCATTGTACTATAAAAACATCCTGTAAGTTTCAGAACTCAAAACGTTCCCGTTAGTCTAAAAACAGCTTATATTGAAGTCAATCTGCCAAAACGACGGGTTGTGGAATGTGCCACTTTATGACGTAATAATGAGGCTAAACCCCGCCTCCACAGAAGAAGATCAACGCCTGCTTCTACATCACTGCCTGTTTAGCCCCGCCCACCGATTCACGCATGTAGTGTAAATAACAATGCAGAACATAATGCAGAAACCAAACGATAAAGATGCTCCGAAGACAACAAGACGCTGTGGAAAATCATGTGGCTGTGACAGCGCTGTGGCTGTCAATCAAACACGACTGTTAGCCAATCATAGCAGTGGGCGTTTACTTCTGAGTCTACAATCCTCCACGCCTATCCAAACAGAGCGTTCTGATGAGGAGGGTTAAAACAGGACAGAAAACTAAACTAAATTATTATGTTATTTTATCTAAAAATCTTGATAACATTATAAGTGGACCTCAGAGAACAGTACAAAATAATAAAAAGGCAGTTCATGACCCCTTTAAATAGTATCAGTTTTGTTTATGTACTATTTAAGTATATTTTTAATTAGCATTTATTTTTATATTTTACCTTCTCATTTTAATTAGTTTGTTTTAATAATTGTATGTACTTTTATCATTTTTATTAATATTATTTTTATTTATATAGCTTTAATTTAATTTTATTTCACTGAGCTACCAAGACAAAATGTCTAAATGAAGTTTTTTTTCTTTACTATTTAGGTATTTTTTATTTAGTATTTTTTTATATTTTGAATGATTTTTTTTTATATATTTTCAGTTTTCAGTTTTCAATTTTATTGTAGTTTTATTTGAGTAATTTTATGTGTTTTTGTCATTTCAATTAGTATTTCTGTCTATGCTTTAATTATTATTATTATTATTATTTTAGTTTTAGTTTTAATAATTGTAATACTTATTTTATTTCAGTTAGTTGCCAAGGTGAAATTTCAAATTTGTGATTTTTGTTCAAATTTTTGTTCTGTCATTTTAAGTTCAAGTTTTTCTTCTAATATTTATATTTTATTTTAGCTTCATTTCAGCCAGTGGAAATGTGTTTTAATCGTTTTAGTGAACAAAAACATTTTCATTTCAGTAGTTGTTTTTTATTTCAAGAATTTGTAATGTTTATAAATTATTATTTCTTTAATTCTCTTTTATTTCAGTTTTAGTAATGTTAATACGTCAGTATTTCTGTTAGTTGCTATGTACTGCACATTTGCACATTAGTGAGCTTGAGCATTAGTTTTTTTGTTTTTGTTTGCATGAACCTTTTTCGTCTCTCTGGGTCTTGGATGGTTGCATTCTTTCATGCAAACACAACCGTGCCACATTGACACAACACCATCACCTTGTCGGCACAGAAGCGGCACACATCACAGCCGAGCGGCATTGTGTCGCTCACACGGACCCCGGAATGTTTGGCACCGCTTCCTGCAGCATTGTTCCGAAATGGAGTTTGAATGCGCGACTGTTCTGTGTGGCCTAATTTGAACTGTGATATCTCATGCTGGCACGTCCAACTACTGATTTATATTGAAAGGGATTTTCTCTCCTTTCATATCTGGCCTCAGAGGATGTGCTGTCACTGCATTGAAAGGCAGATTATGGTGGTGATCTGTTGAAGGGCATGATGAAACACTGTGACCT